AAAGTTCAAAAAATAGAACTAAGTCATGAAGAGACAGCCAACCTATCAGATGCACAGTTCAAAACACTGGTGATCAGAATGCTCACAGAAATGGTTGAGTACAGACACAAAATAGAGGAAGACATGAAGATTATGCAAAGGGAAATAAAGCAAAATGTATAGGGAACCAACAGTAATGGGTAGGAAACAGGGACTCAAATCAACAATTTGGACCAGAAGGAAGAAATAAACACTCAACCAGGACAGAATGAAGAAACAAGAATTAAAAAAAAAAAAAAAAAAAAAAAGAGGAGAGGCTTGGGGACAACTTTAAATGTTCCAACATCCAAGTCATAGGGGTGCCACAAGGAGAAGAGGAAGAGCAAGAAATTGAAAACATATTTGAAAACATAATGAAGGAGAACTTCCCTAATCTGGCAAAGGGAAACAGACTTTCGGGAAGTCCAGGAAACTCAGAGATTCCCAAAGAAGTTAGAGCCAAGGAAGTACACGCCAAGGCACATCATAATTTCTTTACCCAAGAAGAAAGATAAGGAGAGAATCTTAAAAGCAGCAAGAGAAAAGGAGACAGTTACCTACAAAGGAGTACCCTTAAGACTGTCAGCCGACTTCACAAAAGAAACCTTGCAGGCAAAAAGGAGCTGGAAAGAAGTATTCCAAGTCATGAAAGGCAAGGACCTATATTCAAGATTACTCTATCCAGAAAATTATCATTTAGAACCAAAGGGCAAATAAAGTGCTTCCCAGATAAGGTCAAGTTAAAGGAGTTAATCATCACCCAGCCCTTATTATATGAAATGTTAAAGGGACTTATCTAAGAAAAAGAAGATAAAAACTATGAACAGTAAAATGACAACAAACTCGTAACTATCAACAACTGAACCTAAAAAAAACCAAAAACTAAGGAAACAACTAGAACAGGTACAAAATCACAGAAATGGTTCACATGGAAATAGGATCACATGGAGGGTTATCTGTGGGGGAGAGGAATGGGGAGAGAGGGGGGAAAAGGTACAGAGAATAAGTAGCATAAATAGTAGGTAGAAGATAGATAGGGAGAGGTTAAGAATAGTATAGGAAATGCAGAAGCCAAAGAACTTATATATATATGACTCATAGACATGAACTAAAGTGGGGGAATGTGGGTGGGAGGAGGCGCACAGGGTGGAGGGGAATAAAGGGGGGGAATGGGACAACTGTAATAGCATAATCAATAAAACATAAGAAAAATCAAAACTAACAAACAAAAAAAGGCAGTATTTCCCACATCCATGTTTCTCTCCTTCTCTTTCTCCCTCCCTTCCCAGGTCTCTAAAAACTAAACAAATAAAATAAAAATGGAACTGCCTTTGACCCAGCAATTCCACTTATGAGGTTATATCCTAAAAATTGTAAAACACCAGCTTGAAAGAATATGCACACCCTTATGTTCATAGCAGCATTATTTACAATAGCTAAGATCTGAAAACAGCCCAAGTGCCCATCAGTAGATGAGTGGATAAAAAAAGCTGTGGTCTTTTTCTTTAAAAAAAAATTTATTCATTTCTTTTTAGACAGAGAAGAAAAAAAAAGTAAATACTAAGCAGTACCCAGGGATGAATAAATTATCAGAGTTAATTGTGTTTTAAAAACTATTGTAAAATACACATAACAGAACAGTAGCAATTTAACTGTTAAAAAGTATACAGTTCACTTACATTAAATTATTCAAAATGTTGTACAACTGTCGCCACTGTCTAGTTGGAATTTTTCATCACCCCAAGCAGAAACACCATAGCTGTTAAGTAGCCATTCCCCATTCCCCTCTTTCTCCAGTTGTTGCAAACTACAAATCTGATTTTTCTCCTCTATGAGTTTGCCCATGGTGGATATTTTATATAAATTGTATAATTATACAATATATGGCCCTTTAAGTCTGGCTACTTTATTTCACTGAGCACATTTTCAACAATCGTCCAAGCTGTAGCAAGTATCAGTACTTGATTCCTTTTATAGCTGAATAGTATTCCACTGTATATATGTACAGTTTGTTTATCCATTCATTCACTGATGGACACCTGGGTTGTTTTTATTTTTGGATATTGTGAATGGTATTGCTATGAATGTTTATGTACAAGTTTTTATTTGAAATACCTGTTTTTAATTCTTTTGCTATATATCTAGGAGTAAAATTGCTGGATCATATCATAATTTTGTTTAATGTTCTGAGGAACCTATTTGGGTTAATTTTTTTAAAAAGATTTTATTTATTTATTTTCAGAGAGAGGGGATGGGAAGGAGAAAGAGAGAGAAAGAAACATGGATTGGCTGCCCTTCACACACCCCCCAACTTGGGGGTGCAACCCAGGCATGTGCCCTGACCAGGAATCGAACTGGTAACCTGACCTTTCAGTTTTCAGGAAAATGCCCAACCCACTAAACCACACTAGTTAATGGCTTGCCTTAATTTTTAATAGAAACAGCAAACAGCTTGCCAGACAAATCTGCTTTCAAAAAAAAAAACACAACCAAACACAAATAAAACTAGACTGATGTGTCCCAATAAGTCACCTTGCATTATCAAAAACTATTAGTTAAACCAAAGGATCGAGGTTTGATTCCCAGTCAGGGCACATGCCTGGGTTGCAGGCCAGTTCCCAGCAGGGGACGCATGAGAGGCAACCATACATTGATATTTCTCTCCCTCTCTCCTTCCCTTTCCTTCTAAAGATAAATAAATAAAATCTTTAAAAACAAAACAAAGAAAAACTATTAGTTACCTTGTGAATTCAACAGGTCAATTACCCCCGACAAGGCTTTACACACAAATACAGCTTCACAGATACAAACTATATGCTAGGCACTTTAAGTTACTACATTATCTCATTCCTCACACACATTTGCAAACTGGTTGCATCACCACTATGTAACAGGAAATGCAAGCCTCGGACAGGTGAAGTGGGTTGCCTCAGCTAAAGAAACCAGTGAGGAGTGCGAATGAGGTTCCAACTCAAATCCACTTACTAGAAACCCCGTACGAGGCAAGAGAGCATAAAGAAATTTTAAAAATATGAAAAGTTACCACGTGGCCAGAAATACATAGGCTATTTATTTGGTGTAAAACATTCCTAACGCTTGGTTTCCTCATCTTAAAAATGAAAAATAATAATTCCCTAAAGGCATGTTAGAATTAAATGCAGCAAATACAAAGTAGTTGGCACAATGCCTACCTCACAGAACATAACACACAGTAAATGACTGTTAATATTTAACAATTATGCCTCCTTAGGGAGTTGAAAAACATTAAAACTAAAACGGCGATTTAAAATGCTTTGCAGATATCTCACAACACAGTTAAAAATGCACTGGACTTGTCTGGGGTTCTGGTGTTCTGATACGACTAATGAAACCATAGCGGACAGGGCTTCCCCCACAATCGGAGTGCCATATTATGCTGGGACAGTCTATAAGCAGAGAAGAAAAATAAGAAAATTATTTTTGGGGAAAAATTATTTTTGGGGAAAGACAAAAGCACATAAAATATCAATAGAAAAGGACAACAAAAAATTAGGAGAAAGAGTAAAGTTCAAAGAACAGTACTTATAAAAGTGCTTTTTGTAGGGGGCATAAATTGTGTGACAAAGTTAAACATATTTCCCAAGAAGAATCTTTTTTAAAAAAAATATATTTTATTGGCCCTGGCTGGTGTAGCTCAGTGGATTGAGCGCGGGCCTGTGAACCAGACAATTGAGGTTCGATTCCCAGTCAGGGCACATTCCTGGGTTGCAGGCCAGTTCCCCGCAGGCTAATTTCCAGCAGGGGACGCATGAAAGGCAACCATACATTGATGTTTCTCTCCCTCTCTCCTTCCCTTCCACTCTAAAGATAAATAAATTAAATTAAAAAATATATATATTTTTTTATTGATTATGCCATTATAATTGTCCCACTCCCCCCTTCATTCCTCTCCACCCTGCACACCCCCCACCTACATTCCCCCCTTTAGTTCATGTCCATGTGTCATAAGTTCTTTAGATTCTATATTTCCCATACTATTCTTGCCCTCCCTCGTCTTTACATGATAAATTTTACAAGTCAGATAAATATGTGGTCATTAACTCAATTCACTTGTGAATCTAGACTATGTAGGAATTTTGTACCTCTAAGTAAATAATCTCATTATGACTAAAAATTTTTAATCATAAGTCATATTCTCTATTTTTAAAAATACTAATTTACTTTAATTATGTTTCTACAGAACAACATAATTAAAAAAAAACAAACTGGACTTGATCCTCAGAAGGGCAATGGGTGGAATAACAGCCAATTTTGTGCTGATGAGCCAGCCCTTCTGGGGAAGAGGCGATCTGCCATGGGCCCCACTCATTCCTATACAGTTTTGCTGACTGTGGCCCTGACCACTCTCATCCAGGCCATTTCCTAGGGTTGTTTATGCAGCTGGTGACTCTGCGCTAAGGTAACATGTCTTTGGGACAAAGACCGGGACTGCTTACAATAAAAGTGGTATGTTCCTCACGTTCCGTGTTCTTCAGCTGTGACAGAAACTCGCTGTGACCCTCTGTGTCCCCATGCAAAAAACAGTAACAGGCTCATTGGTTAGCTCATAAATACCACACCCAACAGCTATTAAGCTACGACTGAGACCAAGTGCTCCCAACACTGCACATTTCTGCAAAACGACCTTATTCAATGCTTTGAAAAAAATCCTTTCAATCCAGTCCTTACACTCACTGCCACACAGTACAATGGGAAACAATGTTTATTGATAGTCTTTCTTTTAAATCCTGAGACTGAATTTATTCTTACTACCAAGACCACCACAATTTGTTCTTTTCATAAAGCAAGAATGCTTTCTGATGAAAGAAAATAGTTCTCTACTTCATTTGTAGGGAAAAAAAAAGTCAATTCGCAAATCTTTTTAAAACCTGAAAGCAGATTTAAAAAAATAAAGTTCAATTTTCGAGTTCTTTGTAAATCACTAACCTGAGGGAAAGCCTCACCTGCTCCAGCTGGGTGGCAAAGGCGATGGTCACTGACATAGTGAAGAAGTCAGTGCAGCGCTCCGCTGGTCCGATCTGATGGTAGCCTCCTTCCTCATTCAGCACCGCCACAACGTCCTTGGGGTCAAGTCCAGATAGGCTGGCGGGAACTTTATGGGGAAAAATAAATAAACTACATTGTAGTTTGCCACTGAAAGATTTTGAAAGCTGGTTAAACTTTCTTGTTTGCAGTTTTCATGGACACATTTAATATCTCAGTAAGGTTTCCAGTGATTTTTATATATAACCACCATTTTCTATCTATACATGAAGTCATATTTTGAAATAAGCTAACATTCTTAAAATTTCAATTCAATTAACCACAGAGAAAAGGCATCACAGGTTTTCTAAAGGAAGAGAATATAAACTGGGAACTGAAAAATAAGCAAAATTTGGCTAAAAATAGAAAGGTGACTGAATAGAGAATGAGGGAGTAAAAAGTGTTCTGGGCAGAAGGAACAATGTGTACAAAGACTCAGCAGCAAGAGAAAGCACATACAGACCGACGTGCTGAATCAGAGAGGGAGGATGACCTAGAAGAGCCAAGCCTGGAGGAATAAGCAGAGGCCACAGCAGAGTCTTCTTCGATGCCATGCAAGAACAACTAGACGGTTTTCTAAGAATAAGAGAATACCATGAAACAATTTTGAGAAGAGAATATAATCAAATAGACTTCAATATGAAGAGAATGGAGAGGGACAGGGTTTTCAAATTGGTCAAGAAAAAAAACAAAACCACACACACCTGAAATAATAGACAATATTCAGAACTAGGGAGAATGCAGTCAAGTGAACACTCTCCATGCTGGTAGGTACAGACTAGTGTATAACCTTTTGAAGAGTATTAACTCAGGGCTTCTCAAAATTTTATGCATGCATGTTCTGTAAACAAGCAGTCATTCCCGACTCCTTCAGGAGTTAATCCTGAAGCTATGAGCTCACTAAAGCCCTGACTAAAAACTGCATAAGGGGTCAGAACACAGATACGAGAGTCACACAGACCACGGTTTCAATCCTAGTTCTGCCATTCACTAACTATATAGGAAAACTACAATATCCTTCGGTCTCATTTTTTCTACAAAGTTTTTTGTGTTGTTGAGAAGATAAAATTAAACATCAAAAAGTACTTAGCAGAGTATCTGACAATGAAGCACTTGAATAAAGGTAGCCATTAAATTCTAAGGTCAAGGGAGCTTAGAAATCAAAATAATTGTGACAGGTCTCTCACTGTCGGGAAAGAGAGCTACAAATACGGAAGGGGAGAAGAACTAGGATAAATCTCGTAGTGCAGGACTGGATGGATGGAAGGTGTCTATGTGAATGTATGGTGTTCAAAAAATGTAGAGATAATAAAGAAAAATAAGAGCGATACAAAGATATATATGTGTGTGTATGTAGGGTGGGGCAAAAGTAGGTGTACAATTGTTTGCATGTACAGTTGTAATACTTCCTCTGTGTGTACATGCACAAATTCTCTAACTTTTTCTACTGAAAGGGCTTGAGTGCAGCAACATCCCAATGGCAACTGGCATTCCCAGAGCCTGGACCTTGACTTCTAAATAGCATTCTTTAGTCAAAGGAAACAGGGCTCCTTGAAAAAAATTGTTGAATCCAGGGCTGAGACAGGAAACGTGTAAGATGAGCCTGGACCATCTTCTTGTGCCAGAAAACAAGCAGAAACTCAAAAAACTGTGGAGACAGTCAAAAGGAAACAGAAGAAGCTTGCAGAAGCTCCCACTGTGCAAATTTGGGCCAAGTATGAGAGGTTAAAACTGTAACCCGCTAAAGAAAATGAGAAAACTGTAAGTCTACACTTATACAATATAAACAAACAGAAGGTTTAATGAAGAAGGAATATCCTATAATTTTATAATTCTGACCCATAAAACATTTACTAATTACAAAGGAAAAACAGTAAGTTTACAATTGAGGACACAGACACACAACACCTTAATCAAATAATCAAAGTGGTCATCATCAATAATGGAACAAATCAAAATTCTGTGTCACCTGACAAGATGGCAATGAGAGAAACATAGCAGCACTTCTGCGATAGTCCTGCCAGAGGTGTACGACCTAAATCTAATACCAGTCACACACAAACAGTACAGGGGCACAGGATCCCCCAAAGACTGGGACTTAACTACGGGACTACAGAATGTCTCCCCTCCCCACAAACATTACCACTACATCACTAAGGGCCTGTTTTCCTTTTACGCAGTGTATCATTTCCACCTTTCAACAAAACTATTACAAAGTATACTAAAAGGCTAAAAAACAATCATCATCATCCAAGCTTTCATTTAGGAAAACAGAGAGGAACAAATTAAATTCAAAGTAAGCAAAAGAGAGAAATAATAAAAGCTAGAGCAGAGATCAATGAACCTGAAAACAGGAAATCAACAGAGAAAAATCAAACCGAAAGCTGGTTCACTGAAAAGATCAATAAAATCAGTAAGCCTCTAGCCAGCTCTAGAGCAAAAAAGAGAAGACACAAATTCCTAGTACCAGAAACGAAAGAGGGAACAACACTCTGGATCCCGTGGGCATTAAAAGGATAACCAAAAAGTGCTGTGAGTAACTCTGTGCCCACAAACTTGATAACCCAGATGAAATCCACCAATTCCTCTGGAGGATACAATCTGCCAGAAGGCACAGACAGTCTGAATAGGCAGTGTCATTTAATTAAATTGATTCCATAATTTTACAAACCAGAGAGCACCAGACCCAGATGGGTTCACTGGTGAATCATACCAAAGATTCGAGAAAGAAATTACAGTGGACCCTTGAACAGCACAGATTTGAACTATGTAGGATCACCTATGTACAGATTTAAATCACTGTTGTTCAAGGATTAACCATATTTTGGATCCAATGAGTGGGATGCTGAGTATGCTGAGGACCAACTTTAAGTTCAACACAGATTTTCAACAGCTAGGGGGTCAGCACTTCCATCCCCCACTCACCACTTTGTTTAAGGGTCCACTGTACACCAACTGTCTACAATCTGTTTCAGAAAATGTAAGCAGAGGGAATACTTCCTAACTTGTTCTATGAGGCCAGTATTACTATAATGTCAACACCTGATAAAGGCATTACCAAAATAACAAAACAAAACAGAATAATACTCTCATACACATAAATGCAAAAATCCTCAACAAAATATTAGCCAACTGAATACAACAATGTATAAAAAAGAAATATACACCACCACCACTACCACATGGGATTCCAAAAATCTATTAATGTAATCCACTGTATGAACAGGCTAAAGAAAAACCAGATGTTCATACCAACAGATGCCGAAAAAGTATGAGACAAAATTCAGCATTCATTCATGATAAAACACTCTGAGAAACTAGAAATAGTGACTTCCTCAACTTGACAAAGAACATCTACAAAAAGTCTACAGCTAACAGCACACTTAATGGTGAGAAGTTTTCCCACTAAGATCAGGAAAAATGAAGTTCCCTTTCACTACTACTTTTCTTTCTTTAAAAAAAAATCTTTATTGTATTTTTCCCCAATCTTTATTGTATATTTTTTCCATTACCATTTAGTCCCCTTATGTCCTCTTCCCCCCATCAATTACCACACTTGTCCATGTCTCCTTTTTCCTTTTTGCTCAATCCCTTTAACCACTGCTTTTCAATATCACACCGGAAATCCACCCTAATGCACTACTAACACATGTAAAGGAACTAAAAGACAAGCGAACTGGAAAGGAAGACATAAAACTGTCTTTGTCTGCAGATGACATGACTATGTACAATATACCCATCTATGGAAAAACTCAACAAAAAACTCCTGGCGTCAAAAGTAAGTGATTGTAATAAGGCTGCAGGATACAAGATTAACATATAAAAGCAAAATGCTTTCCTATATATTAGTAATGAACAAGTAGAATTTGAAATTAAGAAAAAAAAACTACTTACATCAGCACCCAAAACAAATATATAAGAATAAATCTAACAAAATATGTAGAAGATTTATATAAGGAAAACTGCAAAACTCTGATGAACAAAATCAACGAAGAACTAAATGGAGAGATATTCCAGGCTCATAAATGACAACTCAATATTGTCCAGATGTCAGTTCTTCCCAGTTGATCTATAGGGTCAATGCCAGCTCAATAAAAATCCCAGCAAGTTATTTGTGGACATTGATAAACGGATCTTAAGTTTATATGAGAAGCAAAAGACCGAGAATAGCAAATTTAATACTGAAAGAGACAACAAAAGTTGGACTGATACTCAAATTCAAGGTGTACTATAAAGCTACAGTAATCAAAACTGTGGTAGTCAAATGATCTTTGGCAAAGGAGAAAAGGCAAAGATAGAGTTTTTCGACAAATGGATATCCACATGTAAAAAAATAAGGATCTACACTCAAACCTCACTGCCTTCACAAAAATTAACTCAAAATGGATCACAGACCTAAGTGTAAAACAAAAACCTTCAAGACTCTGAATAAAACATAGGGAAAACACAGACGCAGAGGACTTTGGACATGGGGATGCCTTTTTAGGTACAATGTCAAAGGCATGAGCCATAAAAGAATTGATGAGCTAGGCTTCATTAAAATTTTAAAAACTTCTCTACTGAAGGCAATGTTAAGAGAAGAAGACAAGTCATACTGAGAAAAAATATTTGCAAAAGAGACATACGACAAGGACTGTTATCCAAAATATATTTTAAAAACCTCTTAAAATTAAAATTCTATGGGAAAACATATTTGCCAATGATACCTCAGACAAAGGTTTAATCTCCAAAATATACAAAGAACTTACATGACTCCACTCTAAGAAGACACCCAACCCAATTAAAAAATGGGAAAAGGACTTGAACAGACACTTCTCCAAGGAGGACACACAGAACATTCAGAGACACATGAAGAGATGCTCAATATCGTTAGCTATCAGAGAGATGCAAATTAAAACCACAATGAGATACCACTTTACACCAGTCAGGATGGCTATCATAAACAAAGCAACAAACAAATGTTGGAGAGGTTGTGGGGAAAAGGGGTCCTTAGTCCACTGTTGGTGGGATTGCAGACTGGTAACAACCATTATGGAAAACAGTATGGAATTTTCTCAGAAAAATAAAAATCGACCTGCCTTTTGACCCAGCAATTCCACTGCTGGGATTATATCCTAAGAATCCTAAAACATCAATATCAAAGAACCTATGCACCACAATGTTCACAGCAGCACAATTTACAATAGCCAAGAGTTGGAAGCAACCTAGGTGCCCATCAGTAAATGAATGGATCAAAAAATTGTGGTACATATACACAATGGAATTCTATGCTGCAGAGAGAAAGAAGGAGCTACTACCTTTTGCAACAACATGGATGGAACTGGAAAGCATTATGCTGAGTGAAGTAGGCCAGGTGCTGAAAGACAAGTACCATATGATCTCACCTTTAACAGGAAGCTAAACAACAAAACAAACAAGCAAGCAGGAAAAAAAAAACAAAGACACTGAAATAGAGAACAAAGGGACAGTGACCAGAGGGGAGAAGGAAGGGAAGTTAAGGGGAAAAAGGGGGAGGGATTTGGAGGAACAAATAGGAAGGACACAGGGACGAGAACTAAGGGGGGGGTGGAAATGGGAGGGAGGTGGGGAGACGGGGTGGGGGGGGCTGGGATGGGAGAAATTGACAAAAAAAACTGTACCTGAAAAAAAAACTAAATAAAATTAATTATTAAAAGAAATTAAAATTCTACAACAAAACAAGCAATTAAAAAATGGGCAAAAGACCTGAACAGATACTCCACCAGAAATGATATACAGAGAGCAAGTAATCATATGGAAAGATGTTAATACCATATATCATTACAGAATTGCTATTAGCACAAGATACTACTCATCTATCACAAAGGCCAATATCCAAAACACTGACAATACCAAATGCTGACATGGATATATAGCAATAGAAACTCTCTCATTCATTGCTGGTGAATACAAAATGGTTTTTCCACTTGGGGAAAATAGTTTGGCAATTTCTCATAAAACTAAACATACTCTAACCATCCAGTAATCACACTCCTTAGTATTTACCCAAATGAAATGAAAACTTATGTCCATACAAAAACCTGCACAGGGATATTTGTAACAGCTTTATTCCTAATTATTATTATTTTTTTTATTAAAATATTTTATTTATTTATCTTCAGAGGGGAAGGGAAGGAGAGAGGGAGAGAAACATCAATGTATGGTTGCCTTTTGTGCGTCCCCTGCTGGGAACTGGCCTGCAGGGAACTGGTCTGCAACCCAGGCATGTGCCCTGACTGGGAATCGAACCGCGATTGTCTGGTTCGCAGGCCCGCGCTCAATCCACTGAGCTACACCAGCCAGGGCTATTCCTAATTATTAAAACTTGAAAGCAACCAAGATATTCTTCAGTGAGTGGATAAATAAACTGTGATACATCCAGACAATGTAATATTATTCAATGCTAGAAAGAAGTGAGCTATCAAGGCATGGAAAGATATGGAAGAACCTTAAGTGGGTATTACTATGTAAAAGAAGACAATCTGAAAAGGCCACATATAGTATAATTAATAATGTGACATTCTGGAAAAAGAAAATCTATGGAGACAATAAAACATCAGCAGCTGTCAAGGGTTAGAGGGAGGGAGGGATGAACAACAGAGCACACAGGATTTCTAGGGCAATGAAACTATTACTGTAGGATTCGACAGTCGTGGATATGCCGTCGCATGTTTGTCAAAACCTGTGGAATGCTGTGCATTCATTCAACACAAAGAATGAACCCTACCAGGAACTATGAACTGTAGGTGATAACGATGTGTCCATGGAAGACCCTCAATGATGACAAATGGACCACTCTGGTAAGGAATGCTGACAATGCAAGAGGTGTATTTGTGTGAGGACAGGGTTTTGTGGGAACACCCTATACTTTCCAGTTTTTCTGGGAACCTGAAACTGCTCTGAAGGATAAAATTTATTAATTAAAAAGGAAAGAAACAAAAATGAAGATTTTGTTAAACTACAGTTAACAGAGAAGAGCATAACCATTTACTGGCACTCCTGTACTCATCCTAGAAAGAAAATTTCCCAAGTAGCAATTTTTAAAAACACTACAAAATTCTACCTTGTTCTATTATGTATAAACAAAGAAAGGAAAATCTTTCCTAATTTTCTAAGCTTTGTAAACAAGAGCTAAGAGCAACAAGTGCTGCGCATATAACAATGTCACCACATCTGTCTGACACACTGGAGCAAAATCAGTTTACACTCCTGCACATACATATACCTTCCTGTAACACCAGCCACCCATCCTAAGGTTCTGATCTACAGATGCAACTTCTCTAAGAATGTCCTTGGAGATGATGCACAAACCTTTTCCATCTCGAGGAGGAGCTCCTTTTGCTTTAAAACTGTCCACTGGTGCCTTTGAATCTGTTTCCAAAGCAATACTTATCTGTATCTCCGACTTGAACTTGGTGTATTTATTACTCAGCAACTGGTACCATTTTGGTGCCTGGAGAATAACAACAAAACACCTTCATAGTTAACGGGAAATAAATACTAGTGGGAAATGTTCTATAAGGTTCTAAATATATTTCCTGTAATTTCTCAGTGCTTTCTCCTCTTAAAACAATTTTCCCCCATTTTCCTCAAAAGAAATTAATCCTGCTTAGGAAGCTTACTAAATATCCTCCTGAAGTGGAAGTTTAGATTATCTTTCTTGTGGCTATTCCTATGTTTCAACAGATAATATATTAAAGAAAACACAATTTATTTCTTTCTAGCTTTATGCTCATGTCCCCAATCTCCCTTCATTCCTTAAACTAGACTACCAATTCTCCATTTCCCTACCCCTAATTTTTCACTTTTTCTGTTATATCTATTCTGCCTGGCAACATCTCTGCTTTGTTCTATTTATATCAAATAAGGAAAAGAAAAGCTTAATGTTAATAAAAACAGTAAGAAAATACTAAAGTAAAGGTCTAATGGTTGAGCTCTGAGTTCTGAACTATGTGTTTGACTGATATTAAACTGTATGGTCTTTTTCACAGAATGAAGTATCCTAAATTACCTGGATATTCCCCCCACAGTAGCATCAGAAATTCCCGTCCCCAAACCAGCATTTACAGTCTCATGGCCCAGAACCACGGACGCTGTCAGTGCAGGAACCACTGGTGGGCAGGGGACCATTTCAACACCTGGAAACAGCATCCTTACTCTGACCAATATTCTGCAAAGGCACAGTCCAGTGCTTATACTGATCAAAACCAAAGCAGTTGTTTTGGTTTGGTAAGTTCTGTCTGATAAGCAAAATAGGATAAACTAGGCCATAGATTTAAAAAACTCCCAGCCAAGTTTATTTTTTAAGGTTAAACTTCATAATTTGTTGTGGCACCTTTATCTTGTACTTCTGAAGACAAAATTTGTTTGTTCTTATACATCTTGTGACAAATATTTTCTAATTTTAAGTACAAGCCTGAAAAAATATTTTTATCTACTTGCAAACTAAGCTTTTGTCACGTAAGTCACAACAAATCTGAATTCTTCTATGTTTACATCTATTTACAGAAATTCAAATTATTTTTAACTTCAAATGTTTTAGCGGCCAACTTCATATATTTCTGCTGGCAAACAGAACAATTGGTTTTCCTAAACTAATGTAATTTTAAAACACTTCTCCTTAACTTCAACCACAAATATGATGACAAAGTGTCCTAAAGCTCGAGACAAGGAGGAAAGAAATGCCAAGTGCATCCAGAGGCATGATCTCCTCTTGGATATCCTCCCCCAAGAGGATTTGCCTTCTCTGTAACCAGAGCAACTGCAGAAGCGTCTTCCGGACACTTGGAAGCCGCAGCAGAGAAGCTGGGTGAGGGGAACATCAGGGACACAAGCGTGACCCCGGGTCCTTTTTCAGGATCTGGGGGCAGACTGGTGATGAGTACCCAAGAACTGGGGATAAACAAGCCCTATTTTAAAGCATTTTAAAATTTCAGTTTCTTTTAAACGATTCCAAATTTGGGCCAGGCTGACAGGCTTATTTGCAAATATCATTGCTATCAGTAGCAAAAATGTTAGTAACTTCTCTAATGTTAGATAAAATTTTCCTCACAGAATCCTAACTTATGATTCAAATCAAGTATGGAGAAGTTTAAAATAAAAAGATTAAATTTTACTCTTTCTTTTAAAAACTGTGATAAAACAAAGACATAAAGAAAAATTAAACATAGACATGTCTAAAAGTCAATAATGTACAAAGAGGTTAAATGATAATCAAAAGACACAAGAAACATTTTCAATAACAAAAAGCCCTAATACAGAAAGCAGGACCCAGAGCTTGTTCTCCCTGCGTGTGCGAGCATTCCCGCCCATCTCAGTGGGGGCAGGGTGAGGGGCTGCTGTTTACACAGAGTCAGGTGGGTTCCCATAAGTTCACTTACTCTATCACGTATGGAAGGCAAGGAGCAAGAAGCAGGGAAACCAACTGGAAGACTAATATGGTAACCAAGGTAAAAACAATGGTGGCAGGGAAAATGCAGAGTAGTAGATGCATCAGGAGGGAAAAAAGTAACTAGAAAGGATGGCTACAGAGGCAGAAAAAGGGAGGCATCAAGAAAGACTTCTATATTTCTGGTCTGCAAAACTGGAAGGAGAGTGGAGAGCATTCACCGACAGTGGAAGAACACCATCTTTAAAGCAAAGCTCAGGACGTTAAGCTCAAGGTAACAGCAACCTGACCATAGGTTTGAGTTCACAGAGAAGTTTCTTCGAGAAAGGCGGGTTCTAGGTCAGTGAACTGATTAGAAGGTTAGGGTTTTCTACATCAAATGCACAAATTAAAACACATGAACTGCCATAGTGGCACAGGTCTAGTATTCCACACTCTTTCCATCAATCTGATTGCTATATATGGAAAACAAACAGCTGTTTAACATAATCAGTAAAAAACATCAAAAGTACAGTACCTGCTTTGTTTCTTGAGCAGTTCTTAAGTCTAGAAGAATGTAACCTACAGTTTCCTTGGTTGCAGTGAAAGGATCCAAGGCAAAACACTGGAGTTTGATAGGAGTACGCTGTAGCCTGTAACATGATTTATGTGAACAGTAAAACAGCTTTTGCTTAGTATTAAACTGACTTTCCATTACCCCTGAAAAAGCCGCCTACTTTCAAGTTTCCATATTTTCTGAAAAACTCTTCAACTGGCAAGAAACTATTAATTTTATTGTCTTACATACGAAACATGTCAAAAATGTTAGTCTCTCTCCTCTAAGAAGCGGTCATCAAGGTCAATGTTTTTCAAGCTTCTGTAATTTATAGAACTCTTTCAAAGTAAAACTAACCATTACTCCTTAAGTTTGTTTTTCTTATACTGTCACACACATAAAACTACAAATATACACATATACTTACAGCTCTTTTTGTACCTAAAACCCAAAATAAGCTAAGGAATTAAACACCATAAAATCATAAGCTATTAAAACTAACAATGTGATGTAATGCATGACAATGCTCCACAAGCATGGCCGTGACTGATATGCCATGAGGTCTGTTGCACCCAGAACCCCTTACTGCTCTTGCAGTAAGCTGATTCAATTTCGTCACCGCCTTTACCTAGTGGAACGGCCGTGAAACCTGCTCGGAGCACAAAATCATCATTTACACAGTCCACTTCTGTGTCATTCTCTTAGCCCATACATACACTCACAGTGGTGCCACTGGGCACTGACACAACTGTACAGACAACTACCAACGTAGCCACGAACATCTCACATCAGAACTCTGTCTAGGCAGACATTCCAGAAGTCACTGGGAGGAAATACAAAATTTTGACAGTCTCTAAAAATTTAATATCCTAACAAATAAACCCATGGACTAATCTAGCAAAAGAAGAAAATAAATTTCTCCTTGCTCTCATTTTTAACTTTGCATTTTGATTTAATTTAGTAATAAGAGCGAGCAAGTACTGAAGTGATTATATGTTTCCCAGAAAGAAATATCTTCTCAATCCTCTTAAAAATAAAAAGTATCAATGTCCTTGCCTGCTTCTGGTCATCCGAGTTCATGAAATAAGTAAGAGACTATGACTCATGGTCTGCTTTATAATAAAGTGTTTAAATGTCTAAAATCGAGTATAAAATTAATTTCAAAGATCCTTTATATAATTACTCTAATATATATCTATATATCCTTGGCAAGGCAGAAAAAATATACAATAAATGAATAGAAATCACAATGAATTCCAAAGCATATTTAATACTGGGCAGACATCATTATAGCACTTCTAGATACCTAGTGTCTCATACATTAGCCAAAAAAACACCCCTAGGTGTAGTGACCAAAAGCTTAGGGTCTGGTGCTAGACTGCCTCAAGCACTACCACTATCCAGCTGGGCTCTACACTGTCCAGCTAACTAACTTAGGACAAGTTACTTCACCTCTTTGGCTTCAGTTTTCTCATCTGTAACACGGGGGAAATACCTACTTCATAGTGTTGATGTGATTTTTAAATGAATTATTGTTACAATGCCCTTTCCAAATTTCCTGGCACATTAATATTTGTTGAGGGATTTTTTATTACTATAATCTAATGAGATATATGAATTTATTTATAACAGCCTGAAAAAGCACAGAGTAAATTGACAATGTACAGTTACCTGTGCTGATGGAGGGCTTTTCTGTCAATTTCCCAGGCTAACTCGGTGGCAAACTGTGGCTGGTCAGTATGGTCCACAGGATCAGTAGCCAACTGTTCTCCATCAAATTTTGCTTCTACTACAAGCACATGCTTTGGACGTTTCGGGAAATGTCGACCTGAAAAAAAAGAAGACTATATAGTTTAAACAGAAGCATACAAAAATCAAACGTCATTTCGCATATATTTAAAAAATTGATATGTTAAGAGTGGCTGACTTATCATATAGTCCATAAGCTACCTCCCTAACACATGTTCACATACATACCCACTCAAATTCAGTGTTCATAAAAAACATGAATCAGCCCTGGCTGGGCTGCTGGGTTGTAGCATCGTCCTATACACCAAAAGGTTGCAGGTTCAATCCCTGGTCAGGGCATGTACAGGAGGCAACTGATCACTGTTTTTCTCACATCACTGTTTCTGTCTCTCTCTCCCCATCCCACTTCCTCGTTCTCTAAAATCAATAAACTATGCTCAGGTGACGAGTTTTTAAAAAATGAATCAAATTGAAAGCTATAACGTAGTTATAGCTTCTCAAACATTAATGTGTATATGAATCACCTGAAACCCTGTGAAACTGTAGATCCTGGTTCGGTAGGTCTAGGATGGGCCCGAGAGCCTACATTTCTAACAAGATCACAGGCAACGTCAATGCTATTGTCCTCAGTTCACACCTTGAGCATCAATGATCTCAATAGCATTTAGAAATAGAGAGTTAAAAATGTGATTACACCAATTTTAGATATTACCACATAATACAAAACAACGTCATCTGGAGAGTTAGGAACTAAACTAGCAAAAACAAATTTACCTGCATATTAATTTTCCTGTTAACACAGTTAAAATCCTGCAAATTAGCCAAAGAAAAATAAACACATGTATTCATTCATTTTATTCTCAAGGACAATGTTGCATATTTGCAAGAAGTAGTAAAGCATTCTATCTACCCATTCCTTCGCTGTTTACTGAAGGCACTGTCAGAGACGGGTATTACGTCAGATGGTGGGATGCACAAAAAGTAAAACAGAATACCTGCCCTCAAAGAATGAAGGTCTAGTGGAAAGAGACAAAACACTGAAAAGAGGAAGCTAAAGAACTAAGGGAGAAGCAGTAAGAATCTTACAGTCAACCTGGTCATAGGTCTGGAGAGGCGGACCTTGGTGAGGGGAGTTTTAATCACTGTGAAGTAAATTCATCTCTGCTGCTACTCACTCTGGTACAAGCTTACTTAAGAATTAAGCTGATGAGAAAGACTTTGACTGCAAACCTGTGATTTTTACCTGGGGCTCTCACTGAAACCCCCTAATAGGAATCTTGCTACACATGGCCTGCCTCTCCCAATTAGCAGTCACAGAAGTTTCTCTCTGGACCTCATTTTCAGCTGTTCTAAAAGAGCACTAGGTTCCCCAAATGAATTTCACATGTGTCAAAAAACCTATATTTTCAGACTATCATAAGTATAACCTCCAATAAGCCTGAGAGCAGAGGCTATGATGTAGTGCAATAAATAAGGAATACCTTGAGAACAGAAACCCCATCTTTTTATTCCTCACTATTCAGCACATGTCCCACATCCCGCTCATAGCAGAAACCCAAGCATTTTCATTTGCATAAAGGGCACTTGTAGAAGTATAGCAAAGAAGTTGCAAGCCGATCAATATTGTACAGTTGAAGGACTGGGAACACATGACTAGGTGGCAGGAAGGGAGATGAGGCTGAAAGAAATGCAAGCGATCTACCATAAAGGATATGCTATTCTAAGAAATACAGACATTATTCTTTAGGGCACCAAAGGATTTTAAGAAAATGAGATTTGCATTTCAGAAAGAGTATCCCCAGACACTAATGTGGACAGTGTAGTTTCTAGAAAGGAAGAAAACATTTATGAAACAAGACTATTGAAAAGATTATTACAATAGATCAGGTGAATAAGGAGGGTCCCGAAGCAGAGCACTCACAGAGGAAGCTCATTTATTTAAGTTTATATGAAGTATCTGCTAGCATTTTAAAAATAAAATCAACAACACTTGGTGATAATTGGCAGTTGGGGATGGAGAGGAAGGGGATGATTCCCAGGTTCTTCACCTGAGGTGACAGCGTGGTTAATATGAAGAGAAATGCAAACACAAGAGGAGGAACCGTTTGGAGGAAGGGCCAAAAGAGTCTCAGACACGTTTGTGACAACACCTAAGTGACATCAGTGACTCCAGGTTCTCTTCCCTTCACACTGCTACTGAACTAAACTTGCAAACACCTTTATCCTACTCGGGGATATATGCCGCCCCCTTAGTATTTAGCACATTAAACTATTTTCTTTAAAGAGCCCTCAAGGTCTGGTCTCTCTAGGTATACAAGCTTATTTCTTACCACAATATTCCTAAATATTCACCTTCCTCTACCCTGCCTGTCTTGCTGATCTCTCCACTGCGCGTCTCCAAATTGTCCTGGGTTGTCCAATCGCCTGGAATGATGTTCTTCTATCCCCCCATCTAAAGCTTGTTTGCCATTTTAAGCACTTCAGCCATCATCCCCACCCACCCCCAAAACTTGTGTTTATAGCCCACATCACATATTTTTAATACAATATATCCTAACATACTGTGTTCTGCACTTAATTTGATATTCTGAAGTAGACAAATGCCTACATCTTTGAAGGGGAAAGACAGCACCTCTTATTTCCTTTTTTCTTATTTCATGGTATAAGTCCAAAAGCTTTTGTTAACATGATAATGGGATTTTAGTCCTATGTCTTTATTTTTTTAAAACAAGTTTTTTATTTTTAGATTTTTTCTCTTTTTTTAAAGATTTTATTTATTTTTAGAGAGAAGGGAAGGGAAGGAGAAAGGGAGAAAAATATCAGTGTGTGGTACCCTCTCCCACACCCCCAACTGGGGACCTGGCCCACAACCCAGGCATGTGCCCTGACTGGGAATCCAACTGGTGACCCTTTGATTCACAGCCTGCACTCAACCCACTGAGCTACACTAGTCAAGAGTACTATGTCTTTTAAACAATTAGTAACCTAACAGTTGAAACGGCCCCAATGCTCTATAATGCATTCTACTGTTCCAAAACTCAAACATTTGGTTTACAATATTTACTTCCCCCTCACCCTGCAAAAAGTGCCAAGCCACCACAGAATACCTCCCACGGAGGGGTGGGGGGGGGGAAGGCCAGTCATGCCTCTGGCCCAGTCAACATGACTTCTTCTTGCATGTTCTTTACAACCTGTCCTCAATTTACCCGTCAACTCCTATGTCCTCCACTTTCCTGCAGTCTGCTCTCCAACCACACTGAATTTAAGCAACCACAGAACACGCCTTGCTTTTCCACACCTTGAGAGCTCTTCGTCGTTCTCTTTGCCTGCTTCCCTCTGGCTTTCCTTTTTTCACCTGTCGAATTCCTAACCATCCTTTAGGACCCAAATAAGTGTCACCTCCTCCAAAGAACCTTCCTCAACTTCCCTAAAGATGGTCATTCCTTCTTTCTTACCCTGATGAATTATTTGTCGACACATTGTCCATCCTACATTCTTAGCTTTTAGAACCAAGATTGTTTTATTCTGACATTCCCAACGCTGTGCCTGACACTCAGTCTCCAGTAAACCAATGTCAATAAACCAAACTCCAGGACACGCACACTATTACTAGGGCCTCTTGACAACCTTTAAGTCCTCCATGAAGATTTGTAAAGGGCATGCCCTCCTCAATACTCTGAAACCGCTGGAAATACGTACTGGAGTCAAAGGAAAATTCTTGGAAATGCTGTTACCGTGAGGTCGCTGAACAGAACGTGCTTTCCAGGCACACTTTCAGCTCGTATATAAAAGTCATCGACATGCTGCTGCTTCTGGAAATCGTTTTTTCTACAATCTCTGGGGCTGCGGCTAGTCACACTAAATATCACCCATTCCTAATAGCGTTCATACTCCCTTGAGAGATTTTTTAATCAATTGCCTAACAGACCTCACCACGTACAACTTCGAACAAGTCTTCGAGGACCACGAAAGCAAAGATGACAAGGTTCTTAGGGCTCACAAAGCCTCGCTCCCACATCACTGCGTTAAAATTCAGGAAGCAGCAGTTGCATAAGTCAGTCCTGGGCCGCTTACCTTCTACGATGGACACAACGATGAGCAGTGGGTCGGACTTGGAGACCATGGCTGCGGTCCGCGGCCGGCAGGCGGGGTCTGCTGGACGGAAGGGGGCCCCAACTGAGGTTCCGGTAGCCTGCGACCCCCGGCGGGGCTGCCGGCGCGGCTCCCACCGCCCGCTCCTGGCCCCGGCCGCCCCGACCCAGCTCTGCGGCCGGGTCCCGCCGCAGCCTGCAGCACTCCCGGCTCCCCGACTCCGGGCCGCCAGCCCAGCTCCTAGCCCTGCCCGGATTCAAGACAAAAAGCCGCCCCGCCACCCCACCGGGCCAGTCTGCAACTAGAGGGGAGCCCGCCGCCTAAGAACCTTTTGCCGCCTGCGTAGAGGCTTTTCAAACGCCCGGGCAGCCGCCGCGGCCGCTGCCGCCGCGCCCTCAGCTTCCGCCTAGCAACCGGGCCCGCAGGCCCAGTGCCCGGGAGAGGCCGGAGGACAAAGGGTAATAGAGACCAGGGCAGATGAGGATAGAACGCCCCTCGGCCCACTGTGCCTCCTGCCCTTTTACGCTTGGTTCCATAGCCCCAGAGAGACGACTAGACCAGTACTTAAGAGCGCCCTCTGCTAGCCGGACAAGGGAAGGCGGGCGATTTGCGGGGAACAGCTGCGCAGGCGCAGTGCTGCAGTAAAGGCTTCCAGAAGTTCCCTTTGAAGAGTGTGAATGTAGTGTATTCTCCGCTTTATGCTCTGGACAAAACCTGGGAAATATATCAATAGAGATTTTTTAGGAATCTAGCTCATTTCAATCCCCTAATGTCAAAAGTGTTTAAAGATCAAATCAGAGAAAAATAATGACTTAAGTCTGAGATCTGAAATTGTCCTGGCGCAGAACCTCAAGTTTGTACGCTTTGAAAACAAGTAGCGTCAATACGGTAATTACTGTAACTGGTGGTGGTGACGTAAGCTCTCCGAGAATTTCCTGTACAGGAAAAATTACCTTAAAACGAAAACATTGTCACGTGGGCAGAAAAATTAAAGGTATACGTTCGTCAACTCTGTGGCCAGAAAGGAACGAATTAACAAAAGCAAGACCAAAAATTAAACAAGGCATCCAAATGCTGTCAACCGACGTTTTTTCTCCAATGGAGAGGCTACATCAGATCAGGATTTGGGAACTACGTCGGCCAGTTACATGCTGGGTGACCTTAGGCAAATCATTTTACCTCTTTGAGCCTCAGTTTCCGCTGAACAACAGTAGTGTGCATGAAACCCTAGTTCAGGACTTAAATGTAGTAAATTCCATTTAGTTATTACATTTTTATATGAACAATCTTAGATCTTAAGTGAAAGAAGTAGAAACTGCCATCAATACAACTTATTGTTTTGCTTTAGAATATCCAGCAGGGCTTGAAATCTAGATTTTAAACCATCACTCAATACCAGAGAATAACTGAATCAGAAAAAAAATCTGACAAATCATTAAAATTAATTAAGAAACTCTTTCTCATAGTAAAATTTCACATAGTTTCCTTACCTGGATCCCCCAACACCCCTTTTAAAAAAACTGCGATTACTGTACTTTTGGAATCATCTCATCATAGCCACTGAAAAATCAACCTAGTTGACAGGATGTTGTTGGGTTTGTTTTGCTTTTTTTAAACAGACTGTCATTCATTGTACGAAATGAATGACATGAAATTTTCCATCTATCTCGTCTAGAAATGGAATTATGATTCCATCAGCCTCTATAGCCTCCTTGTCTGTTATTCAATAATCTAATTTCCTTTAGTATGTGATATTAAATAGCAGTAAATATTCTTTTCTAACATAGGTTATTATATTTTAGCTTAATTCATAAGAGAAAATTTTGTTAGAAGTTTACGAAGCATTAATTATTGTTTCAAAATACATAAGTAAATGCTAATAAAGTATAAAATTTTGTGTATTAGACAATGTGAGATTCATTACATTATAAACATGCAAATTCATTGCGACAAGTTTGAGTAAACATGTACAAAAAAGCCACAAAGCCGTCTGACTCATTTTAAACCTTTCTTTTTCTGTAGCTATATTACACTTTTAAAAAAACACTTGTGCATTGTCTCTATATTTTCAGTCTTTTCGACAACTTCCGTAGCCCACCATAGGAGGGCCAGGAGCTGCATCCCCTTTCCTCAGCCCCTCCTCTCTTCGTGTCCTCTCCCTGCCACACAAAGAGTCTCACACACACTTATAAAACTTAAGGCTAGTACCCAGGGTTATTAAAATGAACACATCTGTTGAAAAACTGCTATTTTTAAGATCATGGTGCCAGACCCTCACCTTCAAGAAGTGTTTAGGCAACAGTCTCCTTCTGGAGGAGGGAGCAGGAGTGGAGGAAATAACTGGTATTCACTTAATGCCAAGGCCATCTGACTTCCAATCCAGGCTCTGATTTCATTCAATGTGGCAGTTAACTTGGTGGCCTTGAACTCCTTGAAGAAGGGCCACAGATGTCAATGGAAGGAGAGGTAGTGTAGCCCAGCAGCAGAGTGACACCTATCTGCAGTCCAAGAGTTACAGTTCATTAGCTTTGTGATTTGGCTAAGTCGTTTTTCCTCTGAACCTCAGTCTTCCCTGTTGGTAAAATAGGATTAATAGTCCTCACGTCACAGGCTTTTTGCAAGGATTAAATGACATTGTCTCTGTGAGGGGCCTAGGCTGTGATGAAATCCCTGAATGTGGTAGCTCTTTTTTTATTGTTAATGTGGAGCAGGAATAAAGAGATTCTTATACTCCTTGATCTTGGCCTATATATATGTTCTAGCGGCAATATCTGCCTGAACAGCCCCTCTCCCTCGCTTTTGAGAAAGACCACAGAAGATCATCCCGAAATCAAATACTCTTTCAGGTCAGGCAGGTGCTGTCAACTAACTAGTGAACTGGGCCGGGCCTGGCCTGCGCTGAAGCAGAGCCCTGTGGAGGTCTCAAGGGACGGCCCTTCTCTGCCCCAGCTGGTTATTGCCATGCACTAAAAGCCAGTTTTCCCAAATTTCCACAAGAATGAGAAATTAGAATGACAGATTTTTATGGGAGCCCATCCAATTTTTAAACGTTAGTAACTCAGGTCAGTGAAACAAACAAACAAAACCACAGCAGGAGCCAAACCAAAATTTCTGCCTGCCACAGGTTTTTCACCTCTGACCTAAATTCCTTAAGTGTTTGTAACAGGTGTCCCTGAAGGGGAGAGAAATGGAATAGTAAGGAAAGAAGCGGGGACTGTCTAAAACTGGGAAGGAGAGGGATGAAGGAGAGTGAAGGGGACCCCCATTTCTCTCCTTGGCAGAACCTTCAGGAGGAGACAGAAAAAGGGACTCACTCCATGTGGTCTCTAAGGAAGTGAGACCTTAGGCCCCAATATATCATCACTGGCACAGGCTCTTATGCCTCTAATTTGACACAAAATTTGTGAACTCACTAACTTCCAGTTAGTGACCATGGAGATTTGGATGATGGACAGTTTATCAGTGACCAGTTTGGGCAAAAACCAGTAAGGCCTCTCCAAATATTTGCTCTGTGTCAAAATCCCAGCGTCTTTGAACAGTTTCTATATGGAGGATGATTGAGACTCAATTGCCTGTTGCCAGGCAGTAGGAGCCTGGGGCTGAATTTAAGAGTCTAAAGAAAAGCTGCATTTCTTGCACTCCCTCCCATGTGGCCTAAGCTTTATGGGGTTGCCTTAGGCTGGGATGACCTCGGAGCCACGCTGCCATGGGTGTGTCACAGTGGCTTTCTCTGAGGCCAGGTGCAGAGTAGAGGGTGTGAGAACACCCTCTACTCAACAGACAACAGATAGAGCTGGAGGTAATTCTGGGAAGGTGGGCAAGGACTGCAGGCCATCAGAAAAGGCTGCTTGGCTGCTTTGGGAAGACTCTGCTGTTGGTAGAGTGCCTGCATGCTAAAGGCAGAAACTTTTGAGAAGGCTTCATTTTAGGGGTAGAGGAAGATGATAGATGCTAAAATGAAAGATCCCCCCACACACACACACACTGTAACTCTGTGACATGGAGAAATACTATGTAACATTGTGGGACTTTGAGTCACCTTTGTAATGTCTTCTGAGTGTCATTTTTTCCCCTTTAAAAAGCTTCCTTGCCAAATACTGAAGCCAATAGTGAAGGAAGAGCTGGTGCCAGCCTACTTCGCTGTCTAGAGAAATCCTCCAGGCTTCCGGGTGAGTGGTTTGGCCCATAGAAGTCGACCCCACTAAATGGAAACATGGGGTTTTCTGTAGGACAAGATATCTCTTGCACAATCATTTTATTTAATGCTGATATCCCAAGTACACTTAAAGGCTATAAAATTCTTCCCTACCTCTATGGTATAATGAAGAACAAAAATTAAAACAGGCAATTAAAAAACAACAACCTTCTCTTGAATTCAAAGAAAGCTTCTAAACATATGGCCCCGGATTCAGAGAAGACGGAAGCTCCTCTCAACTTCTTGCTCACTCTCCTAAGCGATGGCACAAATGGCTCCCCCTGCCAATGGCCAGCAAGCTTAGTTGCACATCTTGGTGAGTGGTATCACAAAGCCAACCATTAAGCCTTGACAGTTGCATAACTCGCAAAACCGTGCTTCCCAAATTATTGCATGTGTTTGTGATGCCAAGGTAATACTTTTTATTTGTATAAATGTGTACACTGCCAAGTCAATTCTAGCAAGTGTAACAGGCAACAGGATGTCGAATGGGGACTTTGTTACCTTGGAGTCATCACTCGTGACCCAAAGGATTAAAGAGAAGTGTCATATCTTCCTCATTATGAAAAGCGCCCAAGATCACTAAGGCCCAGACGCATCTCCCAGGCTTTGTAAGAGATGACCACACTGGCTTTGCTACCTCCACCTTCAGTCCAGCACCTACCTAACACTATATTCTAAGATGATGAGCCAAGGAGTGTCAGTGGTAAGCCTAAGGTCCTTCTTGCTGTAAAGGGTGGCAGACTTCCCCTCCTCACCCCAAGCTGAGTGAAAGGGATTGTATCCCAAGGAACCGCCAAGAGGACAGGCCACCAGGTGAGGAAACTGCAGCAGCGCGATGCTGTGGGAGGTACAGAATCCAAGACAGAAACTGATCTGGTTTCAGAAACAGTTGATTAGGAGGGGTAAAAAGTAATTGAGTTAGATAGGCCTCCCAGACAGAATATATTGCATGGGGAAGCCCATGGCCACCATTCCATTCCCACCAACATTGCCTGTAAAAATAATTCACACGTGTCCCAGGAAAGACTCAGCATTTATCTGGAAAGCACTTAGTGCATCAGAGTCTGATGGATCTAGAACAGAGAAAGAGCAGCAGGCAAGAGAGGACCACACCTACATCTGCTAAGGTAGGGGTATTTGTAGTCTTTCTCCACTGTACTACAATTCTTTGGAGTGAAGGGCCCCAAAAGAAAGAGAGGAGAGGGAATAAAACAGTTGGTCTCATTTGCTTCCTAATCTTAAATCCCTTCGGAGGAAATCTGGCAGGAACAGGGAGGAGGGGAAGAGATGAGGTTTCAAACAGAAATGAGGTAGAATTTTAAATTGGCCCAAACTGATATTTT